AGGGGATTAGCTGGGAGGGAGGGATGTGGATGATGGTGATTTTTCATTTCTATGGCAGCCAAGGCGTCTGCTGAAGCCCCTGCAAGGGACGGAAGTGTGCGTGTGTGTTTGTGGAGTCTTGTGTGAGATTTACTGCTGCTGATTTTTGGTTAAAAAAATATTCTCAGGAAATTGTCTGAATCTTCTCTTAGTTTCCAGGAAGAGACTTTCTTAGAGGCAGGAAATTCAGTCACTTCAGTCAGTTAATTAGCTTAGAATTCATTCATTCATTCAAAATTATTTTCCTCCTCTTTGCTTGTTTATGCCTTACTGCTTTCGTTGGCGCAGGAGACGGTGGTCGGCTGGATGGCCGGACCTTGGGGCCTGAGAGGCTGAGCAAAGGGCCTCCTGGAAGGTCTTAAAAGGCAGACGGAAGTTGTGTGTCATCATCACACGGGGGGTGCCGGACCACCACATTCTTCTGCAAAGCCTCTTTCCGTTTTTTTCATGCCTCTGTAAAATAGTACGGGGAATTAATGGAAACCTGAAACACTCTACAGGCTGAGGGTGGAGGGGGTTGAACAGGAGGCCCCCCCCCAATACCACTGCCATTCACAGAGTGACACCACACGAGGGAACATCCCAGAATCTGACTCCCCTTTTTGTCAAGTGACCACTCCTCCCCCAGACACAAAGCTGGGTGGTCAGGGCTGTGAAGGGCAAAGAGCAGAAAAGGGTCTCCCGCAGAGTCCAGGGGTCCCCAAACTTGGGCCTCCAGATGTTCTTGGACTGCAACTCCCAGAAGCCTTCACTTCCGCCTCTGCTGGCCAGGATTTCTGGGAGCGGAAGTCCAAGAACATCCGGATGCCCAAAGTTGGGGGTACCCCCTGCTTTAGGCCCTCTGGATGGCTTCCTTGGCTGTGGCCACCCTTGAGACGCCCTTTGCTCTGTCAGGCTCAGCCTCCTTTTTCCTGCTGGCAAGGCGGGCATGAGATTGTGCAGCAGTTTTGGGCTATTTCCTGGCTTTTGGAATCGTGGGTATAGAAGCACACAACCCCCACCCACCACCCACTTTCATAAACTGGAGGGTATTTTTTAAAGAATTGAATTGTCCAGATTGTCAAAAAGATAAAGGCTTCTATGCTAAGGGAAAGCTTTTAGTTTTGTCAATCCAAGAAGCCTCCAGAATGACTTGTTTTTTTTTCCTTTTCTCCCAGGGCCGGGGTGAGGTTCAGCTGATGCTCTCCCAACTTTTCTCTGGACAAAAGGAGAAATCCAAAGCCTCCCTTAAAGCAGGTAAGTCTCTTTCATTCCTTGAGATCAGATGCGACACTGTGTTTGTTTATTTATTAAATGATAACTATGATTAGCAGGATGCGAAACATTGTAAAGCTTACATCAGTATTTCACAGAATTTTAGCCCAGTCGCAGGAACCATCAGGAGCGTTTGGACGGCGCCTTCTGTGGTAAAAGCGTTCCTAAGAACTGCCTTTACACGAGACAGAGAGGGATTCAGAATGATTAGTCCCTAATGCTAGCAAAACCGGGTCCTATAATTTTGCCCTAGGCGACTTCTCACTCCTTCACCCAAGTCCGTCTCGATTTTATATAAACAATCTGGAAGGTCTGCTCTTCCTCTTTTATTACTTTAGGACCCTCATTTGGTAATATGGTAATGTGGCCAGATCAAAACAATCTTAGTTCTAAATATCCAATTTACTATAGTAGCTTGGTCTAAACAAGGAGACAGCTTACAGACAATTTGTCTTTTTATATTTTATTACAAAAGCTCATTTTAACGTCATTCAGTATTTCCAAATTATTTCCAAAGTAACCCCCAGCCTTAGCCACCAGTCATTTCCTCTATAAAGTGAAAATAATAAAACAGTCTAGCTATATCTTAAATAAGCATTCTTACGCAGTCTTCTGATTAAAGTTCTGCCAGACGCATCTCTCTCCATGTGTCGTCTCTGGCTGTCGTGAAAGCAAACTCTTCCCCCGTCTCTCTTCTCCGTCCTTCTCCTCCTCCTTCGCCCATCTTCCTTAAATTAAGCAGCTATGTCCTTGTCCATCGGAGCTGAGATAAGATAAGGGTCAACTTGCTCTTCTTAACTCTTTTTTTTTTCTTTAGCTGGAGAAGAACTGACCTTGTACATTTTCTCTCTAATTAGCACCTGGGCATAAGCAGATTTCTAGTTTTTTTCGTTGCAGCTCTGAACTAAATCCTATGAAATACAACACTATTCTATTTTCATAATCAAATTCATGACACCTTCTACCAAATCTTCTGTGGTGCCTGGTGAGGGCAAGAGGGGCCACCGAGGTGGGCGTGACAGTGCAAAGGAGACTGAGTTGGTGTGAATTGTCAGGATTTGAAGCGTTCTGCCCCAAGTTCTTCAGTCCTGGTGGAATAAAAGTCTCAAACAAATAGTTCCTTCCACTCGTCCATTTCCAAACATACAGACAGAGAGAGAGTGAGACCAACTAGCAGCCTCTCTGTCTCTGAGGAAATGGGAGCTCTCAGAGCAGTTGAGTTCAGGATGGCATAAGCTCTCAAACTGAAGCAAATGGTGCATGTCTTCCTCCTCGTTTATATCCACATCAGCCCCCGACAAATTACATAACATCGTTCTCTTACACCTTCCATCGTCTGCTGATACAGGATGATTTCCCAGTTTTCTTGATTAGTTGCACCTGCCGTGCTAACGCTATTTGAGTTAACAAATTTTGACCCCCTGACAGTATCAAAACGGTGACATGAAATCCCCATATGCTGTGAGACTGTTCTGTCAACTTCATTCTGTCGTCTATTAAGTAACTCCCAACCAGCCCAGTTTTGGAGGCCTCTGGTTTATGAAAGCAAGCACACACTGTGGGTTTCCTGGCTAAGTGGGGGTTGTGTGAGTCCCAGTTTTACTGTCTACAGCAGAGCCTCTCTGAACATGTGCAGAGTGTTATTCTTTTCGTTCCTCATCCTGCTTGGCTCAACCCTCTGGTCACCAAGAGCAGGTGCTGTCGGTGAGATTCCAACCCTGGACAGCCTAGCATGGGGCCTCCCCTGAATTTCTCCTTTCCTCTTTTGGCATCCAAGAGAGTGAAGTGACTCCTCCATGAGGGGATTTTTGGAGAGGGAAAGATAGAAGAGAGCTTTCTTCTCACTTCTCTGCAAGAGTAGATCTTTATTCAATCCATGGAGTCTTTTTGGTAGGTTACAGCTGACTGATTGATTGATTGGGGGAGCATCCGTTATCCTTCCGCATGACATCTCAGGAACATCTTTAAGAGAGAAACACCGCTTAATTCTCCACCGTGAATTTCTCCTGCAGAATTAAGGGGATTAATATCCCAAAGGATGCCCTTTCTCCCCCTTTGAGAGGGAAAGTGATCCTTGATGATCTCTTCCAAGTTCTGAGAATGGTTTTTGCAGGACTGAAGCTGTCCCAGAAGAACACCCGCCAACCTTCTTCCTGTGTCTCTTTGGCCTCTTCCTGCGACGACCAAGGCAGGGTCTCCCCTGGCCGGGCGCGGAGCCTCAGCTGCCCTTGAAAGGAAGGGAAGGGAAAGCCGGAGACCCAAAGAGGAGGGAGGCGTGCGGTCTCTTCCTCGAGAAGGGCTCCTGCCGGGAGGGTCTCACAGGGAAGAGGGAAGCTTTGCACAGCCTCTGGAAAGAAACAAGAGGTGGGGAGATTGCAGGGTGCGGGTGTCGGTGTTTGTCCCTTTTTCGGGCCCCAGGCATGGATTTTAGAGAAGGTGCCACTTGCTTTAAGCAAGTGGTAGATGGAGCACACACACACACACATGCATACATGAATACCCACATAAATGTGGGTTGAGGATTTCTCCCCTAACGTTACCACAGTGTTTAAAAAATTTTTTTGTCAAGATCTTTGTCCATCATTTCCCCAAAACATACTGAATCTGTTGCAGAAACGTCATTGAAATTAAGTTTGGGGTTGATGATATTTGGTCATAAGGAGAGGACATTGAGGGAAATGTTTCCATTTTGAATGCCAACGTCAGATCATGGGGTGAAAAATACATGGAGACAGAGAGTATAGGATCCGATGGACCTCTTCATTATTGAGGGGAAAAATGACAGAAGGAAAATAAACTAAGATGCAAGTCATTTCATTTATGATCCCCTTTCTGTTTTTCATTGCTTCTAACTTCAGCCTTTTTTCAATAGTCTCTTCAATTTTCCTAATTTTTTTACCTTCTCCTTCCTTTCTTTTCTATTCTTTTGCCCAGTTTTCTGATTGAACTATGTTTAGTCATGACATTTTTTTTCTTCCACTGTCTTTTCTATTTGCTTGTTATATTGTATCTATTTCATCCGGTTTTTTATAAACCCATTTAAGATTTTCTGGAGAATTTCTCAACCACTTTGGTCAGAGGGGAGATTGGTGGACTTAATACTCCCTTGTAACATTACCAGCTTCCTAACAAGCTGTCGTTTTCCATGTATATGATGGCATTTTTTCCACAGCCCACTGGTTACGCAGAAGTAAACTGAGAGCACGGAGAGAACAAAAAAGGGCCCGTACGTTGCCTCTGTAAACAGGCTTCCTTCAATCATGAGCCTTACCTTCCTACAGTCAGGAGACTTAGCTTGATCCAACCACGAGTCTTGTGGAACTGACGTCAGCTGATGCTCTACAAACCGATTGGGACACACCTCATTGAAGGTGGAGACTGCAGGCTCAGAAGCAACGGGGACTCTTAATGCCCGAACATTTTGAGCCCAGAGGCTAAATACTCAAAGCTCAGTTTTCTTAATTTGGGGGTTAGAAAAGAGTCTGTGTGGGTCTTATAAACAAAGGTATCTCATCAATAGAAAAATACAGTATTTTTAGAACAGGTTTATCAATTTTTTTAACTACTTCCCCAATGTTTTCTTTGCAAAAAAAATGTTATCCAAATTAATGCCCGAACATTTTGAGCCCAGAGGCTAAATACTCAAAGCTCAGTTTTCTTAATTTGGGGGTTAGAAAAGAGTCTGTGTGGGTCTTATAAACAAAGGTATCTCATCAATAGAAAAATACAGTATTTTTAGAACAGGTTTATCAATTTTTTTAACTACTTCCCCAATGTTTTCTTTGCAAAAAAAATGTTATCCAAAATTCCTTCCCTTCCATGCATTTCTAATTATTTTTATATAAAATTTTTATTGTTGTCTATAATACCTGAAATACATCTTAATTGATTTGCTATATAATAACATTTAATACTGGTTATCTGACAACCTTCTTTTTGTAATATCTAAAAAAAATTCTTATTAATTCTAGCTTTCTTACTTCCTCGCGGGTTTCCCGCCAGAGGACCTGCAAGGAGGTGAGCAATTGGGGGGGAAATAAGGGGTAAAAAGGCATTGCAGATATATATATATTTTAAAAAATAAAAAAACCAGTCTCCCCCCCAACCCCAGAGACTGGACAATCCACTTGGTCTGCTCTGCACGAAGGCCTTGCATGGTTTGAGGGAGGGGGGAGTCATCTCTTTGTTTTGGTCCCCGCCTTCCTCCTCTCCCTCTTTGCATGGGGGGGCTAAATTGGGAAGGGGCCGAATGGGAAGTCTGGATCCTGCCCTCCCCCTGCCCCCAAGCAAGACACCCAGGCCCTTTCTCTGTGCGTGTCGACCACCTTTTCCCCCCAGGTCCTGCAGGCAGTCTTTTGGGAGGGTGACAGAGGGGGGAAAGTAGGGAGTGTCCCCCGGTGCTCTCTCTGTCCCCTCCCAATTTCTCCTTCCTCCAGCACCCCCCCAAACCTCACACCCCAGGTCGGAAGTGGGATATGGGCTTTGGAGGAGAAGGGGGGTTCAGCTACGGGTGATGGGGCTCCCTCCCTCCATGTCCCCCCCCGAGATGTCTGCCCTGCCCTCCTGAGCATCTTCTGGATCCCCCTCCCCTTAATGGTGTTTGAAGGGGAGTCTTAAGGAGCACTTGGTTCAGTGGCTCTGGATGGAGGAGAGGGAAGGGCAATCCAGATCCCTCCCCTCACCAGCTGGTGATCAACTGCAGAAAATGGAGGGTGCGTGTGTGGAAGGATTTCCTCCCTCCTTTTGTGGTTTTTTTTTTTGGAGGGGGGGGCTTCCTGGCAGCATTGCAGGAAAAGCCTTTTTTCCCCCAAGAGGAAAGCAGGGCAGAAAGAGAAAGATTCCCAGGAAGGCCACAGGGTTGGGGTAGAGGCGGAAAGGAGATCTCCCCCCCCCCTCAATGAAACAAACGTTTTCTTAGGTGGGAGGAATGTGGCGATCATTCACAGCACTCATGGTATTTATATTCATTATCTGATTTGCATGAACCTATGAGAGGGCTGGAGAGGCGGAGTCAGCAGCTACTCGAGGCTTGGCAAGAGGAGGAGGGAGGAGTCAGATGGGAAGCAGAGAGAGTGAGCCTGAAGGGGGCGTCAGTCTGTGGTCCTTAGAGAGGGTGGCAGAGTTAGGGGTTAAGAGTGTGGAACTTACAGAGAGCGAAAAAAATTAAGAGTGAAACAAGTTATTAATAATCTAATGAATACATTAAAATCTGTGAAGAACCCGTTTAAGCCAACTGTAATCCATAAACCTCTGTTGTTCAACTTTACCCTCAGCTTGGACCTCAATCTTTCTAATTAAAGGGTGTTGACAGAGGTCAGCGGGTGGCAGCGAGATAAAGGACATGTAAGCTCTGTGTTGGGTGAAACGAGCAGGGGCCACATGAGTAAACGTCACAGTTATCTTACACACTGCCTCTCTGAACATGTGCAGAGTATTATTGTTGTTTTAGCTCCCAATCCTGCTGGGCTCCACCCTGCGTTAACTGCTGTGTGTTAGACGCTGCTTGGCGTGGGGCCTCTCCCGAATGTTTCCTTCCTTCTTTTGGGATCCAGGAGGGTGAACAGAAGAAGCCGTTCCTGCGTGCAGGGTTCTTTCGGAGAGGGAAAGGTGGGAGAGATCCTTTTTCCCGACCAGCCTGGAGGCAACCAGAGGAAATGGAGCATCCAAGGGGTTCTCCAGAGTCCTGCGTTCTGGCCATCCTTTAGGTCCCCAGACCCTACGAATCCCTGGTTCCAGAGGTGGATTTTACTGGGAGGGCCCTTGGTACTCCATTCCCGGTCTGGAAAAGGGCCTCCCACCAAGTGGCTACTTAGGAGAAAGACATGATCAAAACCTTCCCACCAATTTGCTAGTTTGATGGAAAGCTGTGGGGGGACAACCTAATATCCTAATATCTTGGTTTGTCCTGAGTTAACTTTCTCAACGTTCCCTTCAGTGTCTGATTAAACCATTCCTCTTGCCCATTTTGCTTGGGGATGATAAACGGAAACCTTTGGTGTCTTCACCCCTTACAATTTTTACATCGGTTCCAAAATCCAGATCATAAAATTAGTCAGGGAAGACATCTTGAGGGAAACCTGTTCTTGAAAATATCCCTGTTCTGTCTAAAGGCCTGTCCAGGAGGGACCTCTATGTTCATGGCCCTGCTGGGGGTGGCTTCACTGGAGCGAATGTGATCGGGAGCCTTCGTCCACCTCCTTTTCTTTGGCCAAAAGAACCGCTGTTTTCCTCTGGCCGGGGTTTTCTGCACCCCCAGGTGGGTCCTGCTCAGGGTAGATCACAAGCCAATCAAAGCACCACACTCTGTAACCTACGGGGTAAAACCATTTGTCCTTCTCCCCCCTCCCTTCTGATTTTACTACTGTGTATAGGATCCCATCCCCCAAGTCAATCTTATGCTCTGTTTTCGTAGTCCCTTCGGATCCCGCTTTGCCTCTGATATCCTCCAGTTCTGAATCCTCTCGCTGCCATTTTCGTAATTGTTCTCATGAAACGTGCAACACCTTTTCTTCTGGTGTCGCTTCCTCCACCTCCCCAGTTCGTCCTTCTGCTGCAGTTTCAGCCAGGTCTCCTATTTGAAGCCAGTCTCTCCCCAAGAACATCTCTCCTCCTAATCCTGGGATGACCCCGATCTCCAGGTCTTTCTCTTGTCCTCAGTATTTTTTAGTATGGCCGAACTGGCGGCAACCCAAGGCAAGATGTTTCGATGGCCAGGTCTCTGTACTCTGTTAGTTTTTCCAGTTCTTTATTTTCAACTCTGGCCTCACCTGGAATGGCAATTTCAATGATCCGGGCATTTCTTTTTTCTGTTCTTACCATCTCTGGTCAAGGTGTCTATCCGTTTGGATCCAGAAATCCCACAGGATCTTGACTTCCTTGTTTTTTGACAATTTCTCTACCTGATCTTCCCGCGGGTTTTTGGAGTCTGGCAAGTTATATTTTTTGCATAATGACCAGTGCACTAACCTTGTAATCTGTTTGTGAAATCTTTGGACATTCACAGATGAGGTGTGATAAGGTTTCATCTTTTTATTGGCAGAGTCGACATGTGCTGTTAGCACTAACCCCTTGGATCTTAGCTTTCATCACGTTGCTTTGGAGTGCTTGTTCTTGTGCAGCAAAAATCAAGCCTTTGGTTTCTTTCCTAAGGGTCCCCAGTTTTAGCCATGCCCATGTTGAATTAGCATCATGCTTTCCATCGGTATTTCTCAGGTGTTGTCCATGTAGTGGTTTATTTTTCCAACTGTTTCTTTTCAAGTTCTTGTTTCTTTTATTGAGCCTTGGTTTCTGTGGTTTTCAAAATAATCTCCATATTCACTGTTTCCAGTAATTTTTCTCTACTTGTACTGATATAAATACTTAGGCTTCTTTTTTTCTTTCTCTACTACCGGCTGCATTTGCAGTAATCCACGGCCTGTGATTTTTCGTGGTAAATATGTACAATCTGTCCACATCACTTTTTGGATGTAGTGTGTGATGCATGTTCATAAGTTTCCATTTTTTTTAATTCAGTTCTTCTAATTTGTTTTGATTCCATTCTATTATTCCAGCTGAGTATCTAATTATTAGAACAGCATATGTGTTTATGGCTTTGATTGCATTTCCCCCATTTAATTTTGATTTTAAGGTTTTCCACAGTCTATTTTTATTTATTGATTTATTAGATTTATACCCTGCCCATCTAGATCAAAGTGTACTCTGGGTGACTAACAATAAAAATGGAATAAAAATAATATAATAAAGTAAAAAAAACCAATTGTAATGTGGCACAAGATGGGGAAAGAATGAAAAAAAGTCTTTTGGTATCTTCTCTTTCTGTCAGTTCTTTAATTTTTGTGTGCATGATGTTGTCTGCTTCTAGTATTCCAAGGTATTTAGAATTGTCACCACTTGAAAGTGATTTTAGAATATTGCCATTTTTAAAAACTATATTCCATCTAGTTTTTTAAAATCTTATCACGGTGTATAGACAGAGTGACACTTTTGTCCATTCCAAATTTCCTCTGGATATTTTAACTGAATATTTGTACTGTTCAGCCATGATTTTATCTCTGAGGAACTTTTTGCATTTAGTTTTAGGTCATCCATTTATAACAGATGATTGGTTTTTTCTGCTTGTTCTGAAATATGGTAGCCCAATCCAGGTTTAATTAAAACTATTGACACAGAGTGCTGTCCTCTGAAGATGCCAGCAACAGAGACTGGCGAAACGTTAGGAAGAACAACCTTCAGAACACGGCCAAAGAGCCCGAAAAACCCACAACAACTATTGACACAGGGATTAGTGAGATGTCAAACAGCAGTGGTGACAAAGAATCTTCCTGAAATATTCCTCATTTGATGTTAACTTCTTTGATTTCTTCACCATGTTTTTACTAATCCCAAAAATTTTTAGGCAGGTGTTAATTCAGCTGTGTGACAATGAGTCAGATGACTTTTTATTGTCTGTCCAGGGCATGTTAAGGATTGTTTTTCATCTTTTTATATTCTTTAGTATCATTTTATCAATAAGCAGCTGATCTTTTGTGCCTCTTGACTTTTTTAAAGTTCCCTTTCTCTTCAGTTGTGTAGAGGGAGTTTTCAGTTAAATGCTTAGATATTGATCTTGCCAGCAATCGTGTGAGGAGCTTGAACATTGTTGGAAGGCATGTAATTAGTCGATAATTACTGGGTTCGTTGCCCTTTTTTATTATCAGAAATGTGCGGCCTGTTGTCATCTAGTCTTCAGTTGTCGAATTTTGAAGTGTTTAAACGGCTCTGCTATACGTGGATGGAGAACGTGTTAGATGCTTTAACCAAACTCCATGCAGCTCCTCTCAAAAAGGTGCACTCCAGTTTTTCACAGCCTTTCCTTGCCCCTTAATCGTTTCAGTTGTTATTATAGTATCATCCATTGTTGTAGGTTTTCCAGGCTCTTTGGCCGTGTTCTGGAGGTTTTTCTTCCTAACGTTTCGCCAGTCTCTGTGGTTGGCCTCTTCAGAGGACAGGAGTTAAAACTCTCTCTGTGTTCTGGTGTAGTTCATGAGATGGTTGGGTATTTGTAGCTGTGGGAGAGCTTTCGTCCTTTTCAGGAGCTTTGTTGAATATGGTGATCAAGGTTTTTTTTGTTATGAGTATATTGTTGTGAAAGAAAGTCCCAGACCAACCCTGACACACAGGGGGGGCTGTGGTGAGAGGGGCTCCCCAGCCTCAGTGCAAGGAGAGAAGGATGTGGGGTGGGTGGACAGAAGGGAAGGAAGAAGAGGTGGAGCAAAAGAGAGAGATACCCCACTCACCCCAAGGCTCCTCTTGCTGAAGGGTGGGGCATCTCCTCATCTTCCTCCTGGATGCCCCCCTCCCCCCTGAAAGGGAATCCAAAAAGCCCCACAGCCAAGTGTGGGTGAAGGAAGGCATGGGGGGGTCACCTGGAGAGTCACTGCCTCTCCTTCCCTTTGGAAATCCCCCCCAAAAGGAAGGAAGGAAAGCAAAAAAGGAAAAGGGAGGTCTCTATGCACAGGAGGAAAAAAACACAACCATTTCGCAAGACGAATTTTTCCAAGACATTAACCGCGGAACGAATTAAATTTGTCTTGCAAGGCACCACTGTACAATAAAATAAATGGAATGACTAAAAACCACGTAAAGGGAATTACACTTAATCAAGACGAAAAACAGCCACCTGAGAGACGTGAGATGAAACTGCTTCTCCTTTCCAGGATGCAGACAAGAAAGGAGGCCTCCAGCCCCCAATGAGTAAATGTGGGACATAAATCCACCCCGAAGGCAGTGCCATGTTTTGATCCAACAGGAATTCTAAGGATGCTTTCAAAGGCTCTGTGCTCTTGCTGGAGCACGTTACCTTAGTCTCTCTAGAGTGAAGGAGACCTACTAGTTTTTTTGTTAAAACTTGTATCTGTTATATAATACCAGTCAGTATAATTTTTATAATTTTGACTGTGTCTGGAGTTTTTGAATTATCATCATCATCATGAATCATCATCAATATCATCCCCTCCATGGGCACAGGCCTTGTTGAGGTGGAGGGACCTGCATCCTTCAGTGAGGTTGAGAGCTACGCTGAAGGGTCTCCCAAGCCAGAGAGGTCTCAGCTGAGAAGTCAGACCAACTGGGTCCACCAACCATCAATTATGATTGTGACAGCCTTCCTCAAGACTCACAAAGGGAGGTCGCCACATCACTCTAAAACTCTTTACTCCACTTTACTGCCACCAACCATTCCTTATAAAATAAATCATACATAAGGCCAGGATAACTTTCCAAATAAAAACTTGGTTTATTGAGTACAAACATAAAGGAATGGTAAATCACTATTAAAGAAATAATCAGTCAATCACTGTTTCTCAGGCACTAGCTATCACAGACTCTTTCTCACTGACTCTCACTGAC